TTACAGCAAAAGAAATCATCTTCAAAATGCAAAGGGAACCCATAGTATGGGAGAACTTATTTGCCAATGACACATCTGATAAGGGGTTAATTTCCAAAATATGCAAAGAACTTATACAACTCAACAAGAAGAAGACAAACAATCCAATTAAAAAATGGGCAAAGGACCTAAATAGACACTTCTCCAAAGAGGGCATACAGATGGCCAAAAGACATATCAAAAAATGCTCAACATCACCAATCATCAGAGAGATGTAAATTAAAACCACAATGAGGCCTGGAGAAAAGGGAATCTTAGTACACTGCTGGTGGGAATGCAGACTGGTGCAGCCACTGTGGAAAAGAGTATGGAGGTTCCTCAAAAAATTAAAAATGGAACTGCCTTTTGACTCAGTGACCTCCTTCTAGGAATATATCTTAAGAATCCCGAAAGATGAATCAAAAAGAGTATATGCACCCCTATGTTCATAGCAGCATTATTTACAATAGCTAAGTTATGGAAACAGACCAAGTACCCATCAGTAGATGAATGGATAAAAAAGCTGATACAATGGAATACTATGTGGCCATAAGAAGGAAGGAACTCTTACTCTTTGAGACAGCATGGACAGACCTGGAGATTATTATGTTAAATGAAATAAGCCAATCTGAGAAAGACTAATATCACATGATGTTACTTACATGTGAAATCTATGGAATAAAATAGGACCATAGATATGGAAGCATGAAACAGACTGACAGATCTCAGAGGATAGATGGGAAGGAGACCAGGAAGAGATTAATCAAAGAATGTATCTGCACATATGTGTCCATGGACACAGACAATAGACAGGTGAAGGCCTGGGGTGTGTGGGAGGTCGGTGGAGGGGGGCAAACGGGAGAAAGTAGGGGACATGTGTGATATTCTCAACAATAAAATAAATTAAATAAATAAAAGAATTTAATATATCATTTAGAAATAAAAAAATTAAAAAGTGGATAGCTTTTACAACTATTGTAGTAAAGATTAGATTAGGCAAGAGCTATCATTGAATGTTATATCTAGGGTGAGAATTTTATAAGGAGCAGGATATTGGAGTTTGTTGTTTTTGTTTGGTTTTGCATGTACAGCTAATTTATTTACTTTATTTCATTATCTTGTAACATAGGCTTGTTTTAAATTGACTTCAGAGAGGAAGGGAGAGGGAGAGAGAGAGAGAGAGAGACATCAATGATGAGAGAGAATCATTGATCAGTTGCCTCCTGCAGGCCCCACACTGGGGATTGAGCCCGCAACCCAGGCATTTGCCTGACCAGGAATCGAACAGTGATCTCCTGGTTCATAGGTCGATGCTCCACCACTGAGCCATGCTGGCTGGATTACTTTGTTTTAAATTAAGATAAGAATATGATCTGAGACCTGCCATCTTAATAAATTTTTAAGTGCATAATACAGTATTGTTAATTATAGACACAATATTTACAGTAGATCTTGAGAACTTATTCTTGTATAACTAAAACTTTATACCCTTTGAACAACAAATACCCATTCCTCTCTCCCAGGATCAGGATATTTTTATGATTTTAAAGTATTATCACACAAACTGTTTATTAGTTGCAGGGGATTCAGTAATTTACTGTGGAGAAATTAGATAAATTGTCTGATCAACCCATAGTCAGTTTGACTCAGTGCATAGAACATCAGCCTGTGGACTGAAGGGTTCTGGGTTCGATTCCAGTCAAATGACCTTGGTTGCAGGTCCCCTGGCCCTGGTCTGGGTGAATGCAGGAGGCAACCAATGGATGTGTCTCTCTCACATCAATGTTTCTCTCTGTCTCTCCCTCTCCCTTCCACTCTCTCTAAAAATCAATGGAAAAATATCCTCAGATGAGGATTAACAAAATAAATAAATAAATTGACTGATCAAAATTAATATCAATCTCCAGATATGACACCCTGAGAAAGACACAGTATCACTCACTGATGCAGTATTTTTGGCAAGAATTAATAACCTGAATCAAACCACAAGGTTACAATACATGGAATAAGGAATGAGAGCTAACATATGTTTAACTAGAGTCCCCAAAGGCAAGGAGAAAAAAATGAGTCAGGAGCAAAGACAAAATTTGAAGAAGTAAAATTTATTCAGTTCTAAAAATTTTTTTAGAACTGATACAAGATACCAATCCAAATTCATAAATGAATAAATCTTGATCAGAAAAATAAAATGAAATGCATTGGAGGAAGCATTATAGTAAAACAAAATTATAGCAAAAGACAACCTGAGAGCAGCCAGAGAAAAAAAGAATAGATTACCTCCAATATAGCAGTAGTTTGACAACTGACTTCAGAAAAACAATGAAAGCCAAAAGAAAGTGGAATTATATCTTCAATGTGCTGAGAAAAAAATAAGACCAACCTATAATTCTCTACCCAGCAAAGGTAGCTTTATTATAAGGCTGTTTTCAGACAAATAAAGAGATTTTTCTTTTAGTGGGCCCTAACTAAAGGAATTTAAAAATTTTATACTTCAAGAAGAAGGAAAAGGGTTCCAGATGAAAGTCTGAAGTACAAGAATGAATAACAGCAAACAGCATGCTAACCACATGAGAAAACAGCGTGAATAAAAGCATAGAGGTAGAAATCAGTCTGATGTGTGCTGAGAATT